TGGTTTTGCCACCTGAAAAAAAAAAAAAAAAAAAAAACAAAGTGATAATTCAAACAGTATTTCCAGATCTGTGACCTCTTTGATGGTCTGGTAAAAGCAAGTAGAGTGTTGGGAACAATACAGATGGCCCTGTAAGAGTGATGGTAGGTGACTTCAGGGGATGGTGTGAAATGGCATTCCCTGTTCTGTTGCCTCAACTTTTCTGTGAGTTAATAGGATTTCCAAGCAGTTCATGAACAATTTTAAATAGCGACTTATCTGGGAAGAAAATACTCCTGAAGTCAGCTACTCTCTAGGATGTAAATGTAGAATCAGAAAGAACTCATGAAATGGTATGGCAGGAAATCAAGTACTTTACCTTTCTCTTAAAACGCTTGTTTATTTGGAGATAGGGTTTAGTTCTGCAGGTCAGGCTGGCCTTGATCTCCTGCCTCAGCCTCTGGAGAGCTGGGATTACAAGGATGTACACTCGGCTTTAAAATACTATGCTAGGGGCCGGGGAGATGGCTCAGTAGGATAAGCACTTGATTGGCAAACACAAGGATTTGAGTTCAATCCCTGGTTCCGCAAAAAAAAAAAAAAAAAAATAATAATAATAATAATAATAAAATAAAAAAATAAAACACTATGCTACATTAATTGTTTGCTAGTGTAATAGGACCTCAGTGAGGTTGTAACTAAGTCAAAAACAGCTATAGGGGCTGAGGGGATGTCTTGGTGCAGCCCTGGGTTCCATCCTCAGGATGTCTACCATCACCATCACCACCACCACAAAGAAAAAGGAAGGGGGAAAGAAAGAGAAAAATAGTTAAAATAACTATAGAAGGAAAAGGACATCGTGAAGGAAATATTATCCCTAAACCATAAACTAATAATTTAGAAAACATTTTAAAATCAATACATTAAAAACAAAAAGTTTAGGGGCTGTGGAGATAGCCTGATGGTCTAAGCACCTTCCTAGCAAGTGAAAGTACCCTGGTTCAATCCCTGGTACCTCATGCTGTGCTGGCCCTGCAACACCAGCTGTGCCATGCCATCCCTGAAACTGGGCATCGTGGCTCATGCCTATAATCCCAAAACTGGGCAGGTTGAGACAGGAGGATCACTATGAGTCAGAACTGCATAGGAAGACCCTGTATTAAATAAATAAATAAAAGTTAAAAGAAAAAAGAATTAAATGAAAAGGGCCAGCGATATAGCTCAGTGGCACAAGCACCTGCTTGGCAGGTGCAAGGTCTTGAGTTTGATTCTTGGTACAAAAAAAAAAAAAAAAAAAAAAAAAAACAGGGAAAAAGCCAGATGTGTTGACGCACACCTATAATCCCAGCACTCACGGATACTACAGAGGGAAGATCACATGTTTGAGCACAGCCTGGACAATTTATCAACTTAGTGAGATGCCCACCTCAAAAATAAAAAAGAGAAAAGGGGCTGGAGATAGGTCAGTGTGAAAGCCCTGGGTTCAATCCTCAGTACTGGAAAAACAATGTAAACAAAAAGGAAAAACAGAGAATTTTATATAAGAAGATATGCTCAGAAATACTATAAGAACAGACTTCTACAACTATTCTTATAACCCCCAAGAAGGCAAGTGGAGATGGAGGCTATGAATAAGAAGCAATGGGCAAAAAGTAACAGATATAAGTGCTAATTTATGAATATGACTTTAAATGTATATCAAAAGATGACTGGTAAAGTGGACTTAAAAAGCATAACCCAGTTATATGCTATCAATAAGAAAGTCACTTCAAATCTAATCACATAGTTAGATTAAATGTAAAAAAATCAAGATAGTTGAGGATGTAGCTCAGTGGTAGAGTGCTTGCCTTGTATATGAATCCCTGGGTTTAATCCCTAGTAAGGGTAACAGATCTTTAATCCCAATACTTGGGAGGCTGAGGTATTCTTGAAGGACCACAAGTTCAGGTCCCACTGGAACAATTTAGTGGGACCCTGCCTCAAAATAAAAAGGGCTGGAGTTCAATCTCTAGTAGGCAACAAGAAACAAAGAAAAAAAAAAAAATAAAGCCAGATATGGTGGTGCATGCATATAGTCCAAGCTACTCAGTAGGCCAAGGAGAGAAGATCAATTGAGTTTAAGACCAACCTAGACTACAAAGCTCTAATTCAAAAACAAAACAAAACACTGCTTATAATTTAAGAGTTCAAGGGAAAACACTAATAGGGACAAAAAGGAATGTTATATAATGATAAAAAGATCAATTCATCCAGAAAACACACCAGTTGTAAATGTGCACGTCAATGACAAAACTTCAAAATGCCCATAAAGCAAACTAATAGAGCCACAATGAGAAACCAATACATAATTATAGTTGTAGACTCCAATGCTTTACTCTTAGCAACTGACAAAAAAGTAGGCATAAAATCAACAAAGCTATATAGAACTGAAAATATCATTAACCAATAAGACCTAATAAATAGACTTCGTTAAACAGCAGAAAAATTTTTTCACCCATAAACATTCACCAGTATAAGCTTGTAGGTCATAACAAAAAAAAAAAAAAAAAAAGAAATCAACATGTCTTCTTTGATTGTAATGGGATCAAACTAGATATCAACTATAGAAAGACAAAAGGTAAATTTTTAAGCATTTATAAGTTAAATAGCACACTTTTTTTTTTTTTTTTTTTTTTATAAGAGACTCTATACTCCAGTTCTTTTTAAATTTCAAAACAGGGTCTCTCTAAATTGATAAACTGTTCAGGTTGGGCTCAAACTTGTGATTTTTATGACCTCAACTTCCCACAGTACTGGGATTAAAAACATGCACCATACCCAGCTAATGACACATTTTTAAATAATCCATGAAAAAAATAATCCATGAGCCAAAGAAGAAAAATGAAAGAAATTTGAAAGTATATAGAACTGATTAAAAGTAAAACTACAGTATACCAAAATTTGTGGTATTCAGCTGATTCAGTGCTGAGAGAGAAAACTATAGGGCTAAATTTATTTGAAAACAGCACAAATCAATCATTTAAATTTCTATTTAAAGAAAGCAAGAAGAAAATAAACCCAAGCCAGAAGGAGATAAATACAACAGCAGAAATTAAGGAAGAAAATTTGGTTCTTTGAAAACAAAACATACACACACACACATTTTTGAGAAAGGTCTTGGGGCCGGGGAAATGGCTCAGTGGAACAAGCACTTCCCTGGCAAGCGCCAGGGTCTGAGTTCAATCCCCGGTTCCACCAAAGAAAAAAAAAAGAAAAAGAAAGGTCTTGCCAGACTGGCCTCGAACTCCATCCTCCCACCTCAGCATCTGAAGTATTCAGATTACAACCTTGTGCCACTATGGGTGACTTGAAAACAAATTCAAACTTGCTAACTTTTATTAGCACTGACAAATATAATAGATAAAAGGCCCAAATAACTAATACTACATTATGATTTGTATCTAGATTTCCCCCCAAAGCCTCATGTGGACACATATGGGGCTATTCAGAGCTGGCTGGATCTGCAGTGTGCGAGGCTGGCATTAAGCGTGCAATTCTAGGAGGATCAAGCGTGTGTGATAAGTAACTTGGTCCACTGACTGACTTGGCATAATTCTGGCCATGGATAACGGGAAGGTCCACCCTGAGTGTGAATGCTTCCTGCCCTAGGAGCGTGTGGCCACAGAATACAAGGGATTAGAAAGGGGCTGCTGTTGTTGCTTCCTGCTTTACTACTTTACTGCTTGCCGCCTTCTGCGGGTCATGAACTGTTTCTTCTCTGTGACGGTCTCTGCCACACCATCCTGTCTGGGAGCCAGCCAACTATGACCTGAAACCTCGAGTGAGCTACAAACGGCGAGCTACAATAAACCCTTGCTCCTTTAATTATTGGTGTTGGATATTTTGTCTCAGTAAGGAGAAAAGTAAATAAAATATGTCAGTAATAAAAGAAGGGTGTTATCAGTACTGTAACCATTAAAAGGAAAGTAAGGGTTTATAAGTAATGTAAAGTCATACATTCAACTATTTATTTATTTATCTATCTATTTGGTACCAGGAATTGAACTCAGGACCTTGCACTTGGCAGGCAAACTTTTGTGCCACTGAGTCATATTTCCAGCCCTCAGCAATTTAGAAAAACTGAAAATTCTTCAAAAACAACAAACTAGCAAAACTCCAGCAAAATGAAACAGAAAATCTGTAACAGTATCATAGCAAACAAAGAAATTGAGTTGGTAACTAAAGAGTTCTCAAAAGAAATCTCTAGGCAAGATGAGATTTCACAGGAGACTTTCATCAAATATTTAAGAAAGATACTAAATTTAGAGTCTTTTCCAGAAAATAGAAGAGAAGGCAATACTGTCAAACTCATTTTATGAGGCCAATATTAGCCTAATATAAAGATCAAAATATATAAAAGAAAACTACATACAATATCTGTTTTAAATTTAAATGTAAAAGCCCACAGCTAAATTATGGGAATTGAATTTAGCACTCTAAAACTTATAAGCAAATGAGACTTGTTCCACAGATGCAAGGTCAGTTCAAATTTAGTAATTGAAAATAAATGTAGGAAAAAAAAAAGAAAAAGAAAAAGAAAATAAATGTAGGGGCCGGGGAGATGGGTCAGTGGAATAAGTGCTTCCCTGGCAAGTGCAAGGGCATGAGTTCAATCCCTGGCTCCGCAAAAAAAAAAAAAAAAAGAAAATAAATGTAATCCACTAAAAAAAATAGTAAGCCAATATAATCCACTAAATCATCAAGCTAAAGAGGAAAAATTATACAATCCTATTAATTGAGGCAGAAAAGTATTTGACAAAATGCAACACCAATTCACAATGAAAATGCTCTCAAACTAAGAATAGAAGGGTGCTAAGCTGGGCATGGCAGTGAATGCGTGTAATCACAGCAGTCAGGAGGCTGAGACAGAAGGATGAGTATGCGTTTGAGGCCAGCCTGGGCTCCAAGGAAAGTCTGAACTGCATAGCAAGACCTTGTCTCAAAATAAAACATAAAACAGCTGGGGCTATAGCTCAGTGTGAAGGCCCTGGTTTCCAAACCTAGTATAGGATGGGATGAGAGTGCAATATGAAGGAGCTCTCTGAAATAGAGTACATTAAAAAAAAGAAACTACAACTAATAGTGAAAGACTGAGTGCTTTTCCTCTAAGATTAAAAACAAAAAAGGGATGTTCACTCTTGCTACTTTTACTCAACAGAGCAATGACAATAGTACTGGTCAGCACAATAAGGTAAAAAGGAGTGAAAGGCAGACAGCTTGAAAGAAAAAAAAAATGCTTTTTTGTAGATGTGTTGATTATCCATATAGAGAAATCTAAGAAACTTACAGAAAAATTCTTCACACTAACAGGTCAATTCAACAAGGTCACATGTTACAAAACAAATAGACAAATAAAAAATAAAAAGGACTGGGTATGTAGGTCAGGGCTCATTGGGTCTCCAGTACCAAAAAGAAGCAAAGGTTTTTCATGTCGTCATATTGAGGCTTTTTATTTATAAAATTAACACACACTTTAAGCGACCCAGATTTTGAAAAATTGAAAGACAAGATTATAAACTGCTCCACAAAGTAAGATAGTCAATAATTGTGTAATTGTCAGAGCAAGGCAATACTGGCACTGTTGTAGGCAATCAATGCTTTTGGAATGTCTTGTACTTAGAAATGCAGAAATCAGATGGTCGATGAATGAACTGGGCATGATGGGTTTAAGTGAAGTGATAGAAGATTCAGCATATTTCGGAAATTCCTATCTTGAAATAATCTTGCATGTGTGAAATATGAAGCTATATCTTTGGGGGTTTTTCTCACCATACATATGATAAACTTCACTATGCATCACTTTGTCAAAGATCTCACTCTCCAATAAGTGGGTACGTTACGGGTTTCCTCAATTCTTTTTATTGCTACTGTTAATTATGCTAACAATGTTAAGATTGAAATATTTTTTCCTCTTTCCTCTTAACTTCTCCCAAACGCTATTAAATGGTCTATTTTATTTTTTGTGGTGCTGGGGGTTGAACACAGCTCCTTTGCACTGTGCTGTATTTCCCTCTTTTGTTTTTATTTTTATTTATTTATTTATTTATTTCCACAATTCCATTGAGGAACAAATAGCAATGAGACAGTTTCAAGTCAAATTGACAGGACAGTTCCAACAATTAACACATTGCATACTCTCTTCCTAGTGGTTATTTGCTGTACAAGATGCAGACATGATATCCTATTTACAAAGACTATTAGAACAAATCCCTCCATTCATTAAGAGAATGTAACTATATATCTATCCTAACCATTTTGAATACACAGATAAAAAATGGATATTCATCTGTATCCCCTTTTTTGTTTAGTTCCGTCATTTGAATATTATAGGTGTGTAAACTCAGCAAAATATTCTAAAAGAGTCCAGTAGTCCATAATAGTATTGGGTCTTCCGCTTGACTGCTTTTTTAAATTTTGCGTCTCATTAAATTGCCCAGGCTATTTGACCCAGGAGATAGCTCAGCAGAATAAGCGCTTGCCTGGCAAGCGCTGGGTTCTGAGTTCAATCCCCCGTACCGCAAAATAAACAGCCCAGGTTGGGCTGAAATTTAAGACCCTCCTGCCTCCGCCTCCACGGGTGTTTGGGATTCCAGGCCTGGCACACTTTTTTTACAGCCAAGAAAGCAAATGCACTAGCGGCGGATTATTTTACCTGAAGGGTCAGTTTTTAGTTCTACAACTTAAAAGCTCTCTCGCAAAATGCTTTTTCCAGTAGCATCCGTTTGTGGAAGGAATGGGAAAGAGGGCTACAGCCCACCCTTTCATTTTTGCAGGAAGACACAAGGCGGCTCCACAAACGTGTACAGAGCCTGCAAGGAAATCCCAAGCCAGCTGGACCCTAACCTTCTTGCAGTCAATCTCAAGCGGTACCTTGAGCGCGCCAGCGGACAATCCTAACCCGAAGGAAAGACGAGATCAACGTAGCGACCCCATCAGAGGGCTTGGGTTTAAACTGCCTAGGTTCCCGCGGGCAGCGCCAGGCTACACCCTAGCCTCAATTATTTGCCTCTGGCCCCTGTGACTTACGCGTAGTTCGCATCCATTGCAGCAGCGCCGGTCGATCTGCCGGAGTCACCGTCTCGAGCAACTTAAGTATCGCTCGCTGCGCGGAGTGAAATTCCATGCTGCACAGGGCCGCAGCGGGGCGAACACACGTCGCGCATGCGCAGAGAGAGAGAGAGAGTCACTCCGAGCCAGCCAGCTCAGGCCAGGGTGGACCCCGCCTCTCCGGGTCCTAAGCTCCGCCCCCTCCCGGAGTTCCACGGCGTGCTTTCAAGTGACTTGTTCTTAAGGTGGCTCCTCTGGGCCCAATTTCTTCCAAGATTGCGTCTCAAGAGAGCCACAGTTATTCAGATGTTAGAAAACTGAAACCACAAGCCATCGAGGCAACAAATACCTCTCCGAATTCTTCGAGCGGACTAGCTGGAGGAACAAGGTGCGGTGACCCGGAAGCGGAAGCGCGTGCCCCGCCCCCCGGGAAAGGCCGAGCTACGCCGAGTGATGACGTCGCCTCATTGGGCGGAAGGTGCGCTGGCAGTGTTCGGTCCTCCAGCTGTTGGGAGTTCACGTCGCAGCCCTGGGTGCTGGGGCTGTAGTTGATATTGTTCGAGAAGTTGGTCTGTGAGGTCGTGCCTGCCTGTCTGCTCCGAGCTTTTCCGGCTTTCCTCCCACGGCGTGGGGCCCCGCGGACTCCCCGGCCCTTCAGGGCCACGGCCTTCGCAGTGCCTTTTGCGGTAAGTGTGTGCTCTCCCCCTGTGCAGAGGACAGAGGGGCGACCTCAACCCTGGAGAGCGGCGAGGGACTCCTGAGGGCAGCCGCTGCCCTCTCCATCGACTGTCTTCGCCGCGTCTCATGTGCCGCGGCCCTTTATCTAGTGTCCTCCATCAGAAGTTTTTCTAAAAGGTATTCTGTGCCCCTAAGCTGCCTTTAGGTTTATCTGAAGCAAGGAAAACGTAGGCATTTACAGGCTTGACCGTGGTGTTTGCTTTCCTGAGGCAAGGGGTTAGATGCGGGTGTCTCATAAAAGCCTTTTGATGTGTACCAGATCCTATTTGCCTAGTATTTATAGTGCTTCACACATGGCCCTGCGTAGTTAGGTGAGGATGAGGAATATCGGCTCAGTGCCGATGACAATAAGGTACGCCATTTGATGCTACTCACCATTTCTTAAAACTTACCCGTCCACTTTCTTGGTGCTGCCGTCAGGTGGTTCTTTCGTAAGTTCAATTCAACACAATATTTAACTGTGCTTAAGCTATAAGGATACAGAAATTAATGATACAAACCCTGCCACCGAGAGGCTAACAGTACAGGAGAGAGGGGCAGATAAATAATAGCCTTTCCTTATCTACCTAATAGGCTCATTATGGAGATGAAGGGAGATTAGGTAGTTTTTGGCACAGGCCCAGATATAGTGTGTGGTGCCCCAGAGGAGGAAGACATTTCCCTCAAACCCCCTTTTCCTCCACTTTTTGGATATAAACAAAGAGTATTTCCTTTTTTTTTTTTTTTTTGGCAGAACCGGGGATTGAACTCAGATCCTTGTGTTTGCCAGTCAAGCGCTTATCCTACTGAGCCATCTCCCCGGCCCCAGTATTTTCTAACTTAATACAGACACAAAAGAATCTTCAAGTCTTTCTTCTGAGCAGTACTGCGAACAGTCCATCTAAGATGGATAGAATGACATAAGTACCGTTTGGAAATAGTACCAGCATATTGTACCCTAATCATAAGTGGTAGCTTTTCTTTCCTTTTAGAATTGGATTTTTTGGGGGGCTGGGGAGATGGCTCAGTGGAATAAGCGCTTCCCTGGCAAGCGCAAGGGCCTGAGTAGTTCAATCCCCGGTTCCGCAAAAAAAAAAAAAAAAAAAAAAAAAAGGATTTTTTTTTCATGTGCCTTTTGGGGAAAAGGAAGAGAGTTAGTGAAATCATTTGTCTTTGATCACTTTTATTTTAGTTGACACTCTTTTTAGGTAGCTCTTCGTCATTGCTGCAGTCCGTGGTCTTCCACAGACGCACATTCTCATCTATGTCTATGACTTCCATAGAGTCAGTCTTTCATCCCAACCATTTCCAGTCCATTTTCTTTAGCTTCCTAGTCCAGAGTGATAATTCTGCACTTTCTACAGACTCAATAGCTCCAAAAGCAAATCTACTATCTCTTTGTTTTTTCACGATGACATAGTGTCCATTTAGAAGTATAAAAGCGGTGACTCTCAGTGTCTTCATTTTTAACTCCTTTTTACGTGCATGGTCAGTTTTAAAGAGGATAAACTGGGTGTTGTGGCGAAAGTAGGTAGTCACAATTACTATGGAGGCTGAAGCAGGAAGATTGGTTGAACACTGAAGTTTACAACCAGTCTGGCAACAGAGAACTCTTATCAGAAAAACAAAAAAAAAAAAAGGTAATGAAAAGGCTCCTAAATGTTTTCTTTATTGACTCTTTTGAATCCACTTCACCTTGTACTTTCTGCTCCTGGACTAGTGGCATCACTAGCCAGCTGGTTATTTTAAGCTAACAATACTGGAGTTATTTTTGCCATCCCTTCTTCCAGACCATTTAGACATTAGGCCATGTAGGTTGTGCTTCATGCTTTACTCTTTGATTCTAGCCCCTTCTTGCCATTTGTCTTTTTCTGTAGTTTAAGCACATGCTTCTTTTTAGTAGACCTTTATTTTCTTTTGCTATTTTGAAATCGGTTTTGCTATGTGTGTCAGGATGGCCTTGAGCTCACTTGGTGGCCCAGGCTGGTGGCAGTCCTCCTGCCTCAGCCTCCTGAGTGCTGGGATTAGAGGTGTGTGGCCAATATAGTTAGTGTTTGTAGTCTCCTGATTCCTGAGTTTTTCACTGGGATGTATTTGCTACATTGTCTCTAAAGATGTTTTTAGTTAAATAAATGTATACATTATAGACAAGATCTTGTTATGTTGCCCATATCAAAGTAATTCTACTTTGGATGTGGTCTTTGTTTCTTTGGGTTACATACTTGGAGTAGAATTGCTGGGACACAAGTAAATGTTTAACACTTTGTTTAAAATGCTTAACTTTGTTTAAAATAGCAAGTGTTTAACACTTTGCTAACTGTGTATAACCCTTTGAGGAATTGCCAACTATGTTCTAAAAGACTTTGCCACTTTATTCTCACCAGCAGTGTAGGAAGGTGGCTTGATAGACACTGTCTCCTGTTGAATGACAAACAGGTACTTGCAATTGGCACAAATTGCTAAGACTCCAGAGGTGGTTGCTGGATAGTACGCAGGACCTGCTCTTTATTCTGGAATTCAGAAATCCACATGGTATCATTCAAGAAGGGAAGTTAAGTGTGCTAGCACTTGTAGACAGTTGAATACATACAATCTCATTTACTCCTCCCACCAGCCCTTAAAGGTAACTACCTTAATAATGGTGTTATCTCCATTTTGCAGGTGAGGAGAGTGAGGCTCAGAGCGATTAAATAACTTGCCCAACATGGACAATATGTAACAGATCTGGGATTTGAAACCAAGTTTGTCAGATTCCAAAGCCCGTACTCTTTCTAGTACTTCATGCTGCAGCAAGTAAGTCCTGGCCCTGTGCTTTCCTTGAGGCACCCCAAACTTAAACCTGCTTCCATCAATCTCTATCCATCTCCCACATAGCCTTTGTTAGAAGGACCTGTGACTTGTGGCAAGAGCAGTCCTCAGTCCTCATACTGATGACAGTGGTACTTACTGGAGGAGCATGTGCCTTTCCTTTCAAAATCTGATTTTCTCTTACACTTCAAAAGCAAAATTTGTTCCTGAAATTTGCCAGTAGGTATATTCATCCTTGTTATTTAATAAAGCACTCCTACTCAAAGACAGTTTTGGCAAACCTATGGCATGTGTGCCACAGTGGGCTATTTTTATTATTGAAAACTCTTAAAATGTTTGCCATCACTGCTGTAGGATTTAAAGGTATACAACCAAAGGGCTGTAGGAAGTCTTTTAGGATTTTTTTCATAGGGGATGGATGTTCTGTTCCCTGCTTTGGTTGTATCATTAAAGCATTGTAAGGCTGGAGGAGATAATAGAAGTGAAGCTATAAAATGTATTATGTAGTAATTACTTTCACATTTTAAAAGCTCCACCTAAGTAGAATGATGCTTTTGTGAACTTCTGATGGACATAGATTTACAACTATAAGTCTTTTAGTTAGCCAAGTAAATTTTGAGTATGCCTCAATGTAACTTACTTTAATTTGGGGTTTAGAGTTAACTGTTAAGAACAAAAAAAAATTGCATTTTAGTGTTAATTTTAGAACAATTTAAGATTTTTTTAAAAATAGCCCATTTTCCCCAAAATAAGGCCTACCTAAAAAATAATCTCTAGATTTTTTTCAGGATGTTTCTACTATGAGACCTACCCCCAAAATAAGTCCCAGTTAAGATCATTAGTCAGATGCAGGCATTTAGTACATCTGTTGCAACACATGAAAACAGGTAATGAATTATAAAATAATATTAACATATAAATAATATTGACAATACTTAAGTGATAGTACAAAGTATAACTAAGTATTTGTAAATTCTCAAGTGGACACTTTGGACAAGAGAAACACTGTGCAAACAGATGAACTTGAGACTGACAAATCAGAATGCAGATACAACATGTGCATGTGGTAGCAACTAGACGTGGTTGTGTGTGATGTGAATTTTCATAATTCAGTATGTTGTGGTTATAGTATGTACTTAATGTACTGAGGTGAAATAGATGTTTTCTTAAGAGTAAGAAAAGCTTCTGACAGAGAGGGCCAGAAGGGGACCTGGAAAGTGGACTGCCAAAAATAAATGTTTTCTGAATTTGGGTGCTATTTTAAGGAGAAAAAAAAAAGCACCCAAATTTGAAAACAGGATAATATGTTAACAATGGTTAATACATTGCTTGTTGTCATTTTTCAGTTAGTTACTCAGAATATAAGATAATTGACATTTAATTGTCCAAACAATATTAGCACAAACCTTTCTTTTCAATAAACTAAGAGAAATTAGTTGATAACCACCTTATTCATATATGGTTTTTCCTTCATTCTTTTCTCCATTCCAGTATCTCAGTTTCTTTTTCCTTTTGAAGTTTCTTCCCATTTTACAGTATCTATGGTACATTTTATTTACTCTTTTCAGCTTCTCACACTAGGAAAACAACATGATGTTTACATATGTGCCCCTGGTTTATTTCACTTATGAGTATGCTCTTCAGTTGTAGTCTCTTACCTGTGAAAGTCTCAGTTTATCCTTCTTTATCACTGAGCAGTACTCCATTATATTAAAAAGACCACTTCTTTTTTATGCATGCCTTGGTTGATAGGCCTTTAGGTTATTTCTAAGATTTAGCTATCATGAGTTGTGCAGCTATAAACTTGAATGCACATATATTGCTGTGGTGTAGTGTTGTTAATTCTTCTGGGAAGATAACTACCAGAGGGATAGCTAGGTCAAATGGGACCTCCAATCGTAGTTTTATTTCTTTTTGGTACCGGGAATCAAACTCAGGGCCTCACGCTTGCCAAGAAGGTGCTGTGCCGCTGAGCTACTTTCCAGCCCCAATCCTAGTTTTCTGAGGAATCTCCTCCACAATGAATTCCACAGTAGTTGCACCAGTCTCTACTCCCCCCAACAGTGGAGAAGGGTTCCTTTTCTGCCACAACCCTGTCAGCATTTGTTACTGGTTGATTTCTTGGTAATAGCTCTTCTTTCTGGTGTGAGATAGAATCTCA